AATCTTAACCCCCTCCCCCCTCGTTGGTGTCTCCACCTTATCGTGGTGAGGGGTTTTGAGTATGCCAAGGACCCTGAGAGCTATACCAGCGGTAGCGTAGCTACTGGCAGGGCCTCCCTTGCTGAACAGGTCAAAGGGTAGTCATCAGACGAAGAGAGACACCAAAAACCAAAAACTGATGCCGGAAGCAGCGTCATCAGCAGCAACTTGAAGCACAGAACAAATGATGCTCGAGATGGTTCAAGTTCGTATATCAACAGGCGTGACCAGAGTGGTTTGAACGGCTATTGTACTGCCATGTGGAAAGCAAATGGAAAAACTACCACATTGTCACTTTTCCTGGATAGTCTATTTCCAAAAACAGAGATACCATGTATGCGAGATTAAACTGGAGGGGCGGATAGAAGTGACCAGAAGACGAGGAAGAAGACGTAAGAAGATGCTGGATGACCTTGGGGACAAGAGGAGAAAGTTGAGATCACATTAAGTGGAGGAACTGATTTGGAAGAGACTGTGGACCTGTCTTCTGAAAGATTACCGATGACTGACTGAAATCTTAACCATTTCAGACACAGGAGAACTTATTGGGGTCACAGCATTATGTTTCTCGTCACTGCATAACACTTGGACGTTTGAATCCTGTTCATTTAATAGCTTGCAAGCTACCTTAATCATTCACAAGGAAAGGCGTTGCATCATATCCACGAGACGGGCTGTGTTTTCATCCTACCTAATAAAATTTATCTAAGAAAATTATGTTTTACGAAACAAGGGTTTGAAGAAGATCAGACAACTAAAAGCCACTTGGCCGCTTTACTGCTTAGTTTGTTGTCATAAATGGAAGTGTGTTTAGTACTACGTGTACATGCATTCTGAAATTCTATTTGGAACAATATCTTTCAGAATTACTATAGAATTTTAGTGACATGTTTGTATAATGTAAAACAATATGGCAACCGCGCGAAATGGATACGTATCGTTTAATTTAATGGCAATATCTGACGATTCACTGGAGCTAAGCAGGTTTAATTCTTCGTAAGAAGATAGAAATTGGTATGAAATGATTTTAGGGGTTAAAAATTAGAAATATGGAGGCGAAGTTTGTGTTTGTATGTGCTTGGAATCAGCGGACTAGTAATGAAAGTTATGCGAGGAAATGAATAGCTAAATTAAAAGAAAACCGTTTATAGTTCAGGAAATTGGTTTAAAGTCCTCGAGATAATGAATGTCGTAAGGTCTTAAAGAACTTGTGTTTGGTGTTCGTAAGTCGAAGAAGAAGCAAAAAAATGTAAGGTAAAGCTATCCATGGCAGGCCATGAAAGCCTATAGGGTTGTGAGACGTCGAGGCTGCCGCATTTTCTAGACAGTCGGCTCACAGATGGCGGTGAGGTTGTCAGCCTTACGCGCCGGCCACCCTTTAACCCCCAGGAAGATTCCTGGTAGTCATTTCTGTTAGAGGCTGAGTCCACCCCAGAGCCATAGTGCGGCTGGAATGATTAGGTAAATTGAAAAAAAAAATCCATCTCATCGGGACTCGAACCCGCGATCTTCCGGCTTCTAGCATAGTGCCTCGACAAACTATTCTACCACGTGCTCCAGCGTCATAGTCGTATTTTTGTCGCTGAGAAAGTCACAATTTACTAAAATTTACCTCTTTCTCATTATTTTGTTCGAAAATGGTCACACTAAGCTACAATCACTGAAAATCTCATAACACGAGAATTACATTTTTAGTTGTTAATATTATTATTATTATTATTATTACCGCTACTGAACATGCAGGCACACTTCAACATTTCTACATAGTGCCCTATTTTACGTATTGGTTCCTGCATCAAGAGGGCGTGTCTACGTATCTATCGTTAAATGAGATGGAGAATTCACCGTGTATTTTGAAGCCCGATGGGTTATTACTTGTAGGATTTTAGGTTCACACAGCGGTAGTCATGAAAATTCCCATCATTTAGGATGTAACACCGTATGGTCTGTTGAATGTTGATCTAATTTTCAGAAGAAAATTTAAGCGAAGCAGGAAACCAGCTTGAAGTAGGCAAGATGACAGCGTCGGTTTTATATCCCAGAAGGTAGAACTCTTCGCTTATTACTTGTACACAAAAACTGGCACAGAAATTTACTTTGAGTCAGATGAATCCAGTCTTCATCCCCTCCATCCCATTTCTTTAAGTTTAATTTTAATAATATCCTCCCATCTACTTCCAATATGGGATGTTCCTCTAAGATTTTTCAGTGACGTGTCTCTTCTACCTCACCCTCTTTGATTTCATCTTTCTGATATTATTTTGTGAACAGTACAACTTACAAGCACATCTTCGTCATTATGCAATTTCTTCGTCCCTCTGTCATTGTCCTGACCTTCTGTATAAATATTTGCAAGTACCGTGTCCTCAACCATCGTTCTCGAAGGATACATAAATAAGAGATTTGTTCTGTGGATGTGTGGCCTATACAATGATATAGACGCACGTTGCTTATAATTTTTCCATCTCAGGAACCTTCTGATGTGTTCTTGATGAATAATAAGTACAGTCTTTTTCATAGTAGTCTTGAGGGCATAACGTCATCAAACCTTGAACATCTCATTGCAACTTAAAACAATTGCTTTCACTGGCTAACTATACAGCAAGGCGTCAGTTTAAAAGAAACACTCTTAGGCATAAATTCTATTGATTTGGGTGGGGAGCCTTTGCAAGTATCGTGGGTGGTGTTATGCGTTGGGCATATGAACTACCACTATCTGCGTACCAATCACATATCTTTGGATGTCTTACTCCTAGATGGAGGTCATCGACTTTTCACTCCACGTGTCATTGCCTTTGTGTGTTGAAGCAAAAGAACGGTCTTCTGGATTCGAAACCAGGAATGAAAGATATGTGTACCTTTAACAGAAGAATTCTCGTCAGCCGATGGCATCTAATATTTGTGGATGATATTAGGACTGTATAATCCACTGTAATGAAGAAATATTTTAAGTGTATATCTAACTCAGGTAATGCTTGCTTGCTACCGTTCAGTTCAGAACCTTTTCTCTTCTCGCCTGCTCTCTGAAAACGTAAAGATTAAATTGTACGAAACTATAATTTTGCTTATAGTTCTGTATGGGTGTGGTACTTGGTCTCTGACATTAAGGGAAGTACATAGAGTGAGTGTGTTTGAGGGCAGGATGCTGACCACAGAGGGTTGAAATAATAGAACTTTGGAGAAAATTACATAATTAGGTGCTTCATAACTTGTACCTTTCGCCAAACCTAATTAAATTGATCCAGTCAAGGGCGATGAGATGAACACAGCTTGTAGAGTGCATGGAAAAGAAGAGAAATGTACACAAGGTTTTGGTGAGAAACCGGAAACAAAGAGACGACTAGGAAAACCGAGACTTGGGTGGGAGGATAACGTTACAATGGACAAAACCCTTATCGGGAGATCAGCCGTGTCAGTGTTGAGTTAAAATATAACATTTAGAGATGCCCTCCATCTCCTCCATCAGCTTCTATGTTTGAAGCATTGTAAACTTTTGTCCCTGGGGTCGGTCCCCGCAATAAAATACATAACCTGCACCGTCCAGCCAGTGTTCACTATTTCTGATTATTTCATACTAAGTGGTACTTCAGTTGTACTGTTGTCTTATATTGAGGTGTGTGAACTCAACCCATTTCATGATTCAACCCCACTCCCCCGTATTTCCTCCAGACAGAACATCACTGGGAACGTGATAATGGGGGGATAATCGTCATTTCAGTCTCCTCCGGGCAGTTTACGACATCTGATCTGCTCCGCAATCTCTGGTTTCTTAATGTGCAGAACCTTCCACAATTTCTAATTCGGTTTTTGAAATCTGTATTAATTCCTTCTCTTCCTTATTTGATGTACATTTGTTTTATTTCTTCCTTTTTCTTTCTCTCCAGTATTATTATTAATATATACACAGACACAGAACGCTTTCTTATCCCCTGTCCTTGCCAAGTTTCGTCACGACTGCCCCCTAGTGGTGAAACCTGCAAATACGCCATGGCGCCTATTGCCCGAACACACTTGGAGGGATTCTCTACCTACTGTATGCTCCTCTCTGCTCTCTCTGTCTTGGTTGTTACGCTGTCGAGTTCGGAAGTTCCGTAGGGACCTATGAATTACCCTGTATTGTCTGTTAGTATTATTAATACAAAATTCTTATATCTTTGATTTGTAAACTGCTGACACTTCAATTAAAGTCTCCAGCCAAGGCAAACTACTAGTTCTTATTAAACTGATGCAAAGTTTTCTGTCGTTACACTCGTTTGAATCTCCAGTTCGACCTTATTGTGGGGTATACATCCCTATAATTGGCAGAGACTGTGAGGATCTTACCTCTCAGGACCATTATTTTATCGTTTAGTCGGGAAATTCCTTTTTCGAAATTTTGGAGTAATAAGAATGTACATTGACCATGTTACCAGGGTGTTGGTACATTGAGCATATTACCAGGATGTTGCAGAGAAAGTCTGCTTGATAATCGGATTGCCACTTCGTGGGGTGCTATACAGGCCACTCATTTGCACTAACCAAGATGGGGGGTTGCCCCTTCCTCACATCTTGTCATGTTGATTGGATGAAATCCTCATTTCGATGCTCTGTGTCCGCTAATTACTTCGTTCAGAGGCCTAAGCTTGTGGTCAGGGTTTCCTTTCTACCCCTGCTTACTGGGCCCTCGACAGAAGTTTGTCCCCCTTCTGAATGCCACTCACAGGACGTGAATGCGCCTGCCGAGATTTGTCCAGGTGCACTTGGTCACGATGTCGTACGTCCTCCACATATGCGTAATCCAGGTTCTTTGAAACAAGGCTAGCAGCCACGCAGGTCCGTGACTCTACTACACGTAATTAATTAATTAAGAGATGATCCGACCATTGTGATTCTTATTTGGTACGACTTCCTCAGAATAATTCCAGTTTAGATTAACTAAACAAAAGATATAGTAACTATTTCATGCTGGTTCTCTCTTACAGTGGCGACTCTGATGTCCTTGAATAGCAACTCACCCTACAAAGGCTTGGATCGGGCCTTCTGCGTGCGCATGAAGTCAACGCTTACCAAAAGAGGCTGTCACTTCAAGTCTTCGGGCTACCGGGTAAGTTCAACATAAATTCTATATTTTAAATTATAGATTACATAAATATTATGCTGAAATATCGGAGTAAGGATCTCAGAAACATAAATTGTAAATAAATACGAATGTTCATGTTGGATTTGAGGTTCTCACATCGGGAACTATGGGGAAAACGGGTTTCTGGGTTTAAAGCCTTGTAGTTCGGGTCAGTTTGCCTCCTGCTTTTGCTAGTTCCTTGCTTGGTTTATTGTTTGACAGTGAAGATGTAGGCGACACACTCCTATGAAAGGTCGGGCTATCTTCGACCTGTACGGAGTTACAACCCGGAAGACGGCCTCTTCATAAATATAAACCGTCTTGTTTTCTTCCTAGTCTTCGTTCAACATACAAACGGCTGTCAAAGTCATTTACCATTCTCGTTAACTTTTTATACCAATTCAGCTTCGAAATGATAAATTCCCGTTACATTTCTATACCATATATCCGGTATAACACAGTCGGTATAGCGACTGGCTACGGGTTGGACGACCGAGGAGTCAGAGTTCGACTCCCGGTAGTATCAAGCTTCCTATTCAGTGGGTACCGGTGGCCCTTTCCCCGGTGGTAAAGCAACCGGGGCGCGAAGCTGACCATTTACCTCCAACTAGTACGAGGTCAAGAAAACGTAGATCTATGCATCCACACCTCCATACGTCTTCATGGCGTAATGCTTAATTAGTTAATCACAGGGACACCTTTACTTACTGCTTACCATGTATCGCCTCACCTCAATCCTTTTTTCTTCGGTCATCACCTTCCATCATGTGGTGGGACCGATACAGAAGAGAGAGGCCCATTTGACTGCGTATAAAATATTGCAATAGTGTATTTGGATATGACAGAAAATTACGGCCCTTCCGCCGCTTGAGGGACGTGCTGATACCCGCTTCCAGCAACAGGGCGCGTCCCCACATTTCGGTAAAGCTGTGAGACGAACATGCAGTGCTGAGCTTCAGAANTACTACTACTATTATTACTATTATTATGGCTCTACAGTCCGTTGCTGGGACTTGGCCACTTTTTCAGATTCTTGATCCTATACACAGTCGGTAGGGCTCCCTGGATGGGAGATCAGCCCATCGCAAGGCCGTTACCTACACACAGAAAAACACAAAGACAGAATAAACGCACACAGACATCCATGACTCGAGTAGGATTCGAACACAAGACCCCAATGTTCTAGCGAGCGAGGACAGTTCATACCTTAGACCTCGCGTCCACTCAAATCAGCAGTAGGAACAGTTACCCAAGTGACCAGTGTTAAATTACAAGGCTGATATGTGCCGAGCTTTAAACGGACCTCATATCAAAATATACACGTAGATCGAAATTAAAAAAAAAAAAAACACACTATCAGTTTTAAGTAATGGTTTTATATTGTTATACTTCGCATTCACCGAACACGATGGCAGAGACTAACTGTTCTGACTTACAGACAGGAGATAGCTGGTTCCATATCGGGCCGAACCACAGACTCTCCTAAGTGTTCTTTTCCGCTGTATTTTTTCAGACGATTGGCGGGATAGTGTATTGAAATAGGTCACGGTCGTTTCTTCCACGTCCTTCCAATTGCGCTTTCATTAATCATCTTACCATTGACGCTGTATAAGCTGAGTTATTGACAGCGTTACGAAACCATAAACAGGCATATTTATCGCATTCATACAGGGTGTCCGTAAATAACTGATACACTTTTAAAACGTTCTACCAAGGTAAATATTACAGCTATACAGTTGTAACTAGTGACATTGGATGTCAAACTCTGAAAGTTTTACATACAATAAAGATGATCAATGTGAGCTCCGTTCGTGACTCGACAAATGTCCAGTTTGTATTTCAGTTCATCCCACACTCCTAATATTTCCTGTTAATTGTCTCAATAGCTGAGCTTCAGTTCGTTAATGTCCAATGGTAGAGGTGCCACAGACACTCGTTCCTCTACATAACCCCACAGATAGAAGTAACATGGCCAGCTGAACACTGGTGCACGAATTCGGTATCACGTACTCAATCACACAAACTGTCCTACTCTATGGGAGACGTCATTTCTGTAATTGCGGAGCCTGGCGGTAAATAAATACACCTCCAGTTTCGAAATCTGAGAATTTGACTTTCCCCTGATACCGATTATATGTCTGTGTTTTATAGTTTCCTCGTATTTTATCCCCGAAAATATATCAGTCATTTACAANAACAGTTATTATTATTATTATTATTATTATTATTATTATTATTATTATGGCTCTACAGCCCGTTGCTGGGACGGCCACTTTTTCAGATTCTTGATCCTATACACAGTCGGTAGGGCTCCCTGGACGGGAGATCAGCCCATTGCAAGGCCGTTACCTATACACAGAAAAACACAAACACAGAATATGTTGGAATGAAGATTGGCAGGGGAAACCGAAGTACTCGGAGAAGACCCGCCCCAGCGCCACTTTGTCCACCACAAATACCACTTGAACAGACCCGGGATCGAACCCGGGCCGCCGCGGTGGAAAGCCAGCGACTAACCGCTTGAGCTATGGCGCGGCCACATATGTACCACTTGCTTTAGAATTAAGAAGTTGTCCTCACTTCACATGGAAGGTATATGTACCTTTTGTATGATTCTCGCAGTAAACAATGGTTATTTACGTGCACAGCATTAACCGACTGGTCTCTGTAACTGAGTCATGCTGTTTTATAAGCATCTGATTTTGTAACCATTGTGACCAACTTCGTAATTTAAAAGACTAAGGATAAAATAGTTTTAAGTATTGATATATGCACATAAGAAGCGGCCTCCGTAGTCTAGGGGTAACGTTCCCACCTCATGACTCAAGGTACGCGGGTTCAAACCCGGCGGAGGTCGTGGAATTTTTAAGGGCACGTAAAATTTCCTCATGTTTCTAGGAGACCTCTGAGCAAAATTAGGCAACAATTTCTCGCCCAAGTAGTTTCCAATGTCTCTGGTAGATGGGGGAAATATCAGGTACCGACCGCCGACCTCGTTGGCTGAACGGGGCTGATAGCACGCACCAGTACCGGTAGGGTATGGCGACAGCAGAAATTAAAGGCGGGCGCACAATGGACCAATAACTGGTCTAAGTGCATGGGGAAACCCACCCCCTCTAATAATAATAATAATAATAATATGCACATAAGTTCATGAATGTAAGATTTCACTTATTTAGTGGGCTTCCTTGCCGATTACAGTGGTTGCCCGGTCTAAGGCACGAACCGTCTTTGCCCGCTCGAACACTGGGATCGTGGGTCCGAATCCCACTCGAGGCATAGACGTCTGTATGGATATATTTATGTTGTCCTGCGTGCTGGTAGTGACCTTGCGATAGGCTGATCCCCCGCTCAAGGAGTTCTACCAAGTGTATATAGGATTAAAAAAGTGAACAACGGCCAGGGCCCAAAAAAGTGCTGTAGAGCCATAGATAGATAGCAACATGGTGCTTCTAATTATTATAATGAATGTCGTACTTAAAAGGGCCGAAGATAATTAGTCCAGATAGATGCCTCCAAATTCATCACTCTAAGATTTCAGTCGTTTAGTATTTTTCCTTTGCCATTATAGCGAACGCTTCTTTTAATTGCTCTTAGATATCTTCATTACAGCATTTCCCTTTAATGGCCACGCATGACCGAGAATTGAGACAAATTTTCCTGTCCCCCTTAGTGAGGGACCCTTGTTTGTTGTTCAGGTTCTTCAGGTTTTATGGCTAACACGTGCGGCGAGCTTGTATTGCCCATTAAGTTACGTACATTGTGCTTGCTTCTGTTGCTTGACGACAGTGAAGCCGCTCAGTCGGTCACAGCGCAGTGCGGCTTGAAATATTTTCCAACATCCGTAAATTTCAAATATCAGAAAGGAGTATAACGCTATTACTCTCTTAAATAATTAGAAATAAAGGAACTTCTGAAAAGTTTGAATGAAATATTCCAGAAAATTTGTTCAAGGCGTTGATAAAGAATGCCTAGACTCCCAAAAACATAGAGCCATATTCATTTTTAATGAAGGCATTGCCAACATTTGCATGCAACTATGCCAGGAAGACTCTCTCTGGATTTCACTTCTAGTGTCTGCTCTAGAGGTCACGTGAACAAAATGTTCCCTTCGATATGTACAAAATAATTTTCTGGAATAGGCAGGTTATCTAAGAACGTGATATTAAAAAAACAGAAGAAATATTGGCATTAAAACCTATCCTAGAAGCCGTGAAGGCCCATACAGTTGTGAGACGTCGAGGCTCCCACGTTTTGTATAGACAGTCGGCTCACAGATGGCGGTAAGGTTATGAGCCTTAGATAATCGGCTCACAGATGGCGGTAAGGTTGTCGGCCTTACGCGCTGGCCGCCCTTTACCTCCTAGTAAGATTCCTGGTACTCATTTGTGTTAGAGGCTGAGTCGACTCTAGGGCCACAGTGAGGCTGGAAGGATTAGGTAAATTGAAAAGATCCACCCCATCGGGATTCGAAATCGCGACCTTCCGGCTTGTAGCAGTGCCTCAACCAACTACGCTACCGCGTGCCCGTCAGTAATACAATATATTATGCATTATGAAGATATATAATTTATTTTTATTTGTCTTTATCTTGGGATATGCTACAACATAAACACCCACCTAAGCCTATATGCAGTACATTACGATGAAACATATGTTCGCTCTATATGTGACACACATAAGTTAAATTCAAGACCCTAACTAACTCCACAAGCGAGCTTCTTCAGACTGTGATGTTAGCTCAGCTGATAAATAATGTATCCGTCTTCTATTAAATCAGAAGGTTCTTTTTTATGTTCACCAAAACCCGCCACCTAACCCTATCCTCATCCACATAAATTCAATCCACCAACTTGCTACATATTTTTTAAGATCCATATTAATATTATCCTTTCCATCGCCTTAGTAACACAATTGATTTCTTTCCTTCAGGTTTTCAGACTAAAATCGTTTACGCATTTCTCGTGTTACATGTCCTGCCAAACATCCTCTTGGAATTAATTACCGCAAAGGGAATGAGGAAATAGTGGACCTACAAATTCTGAAAAACCTCATTTTTCCTACATATCCATTCTCAGTTCATTTCCTCTTCCTCATGATCAAACCTCCCATTCCGTTTGCTCCACAACATCTTCAATCCATATTCTTCTCATACAAAGAGAGATAAATTTTCTCATCCATAAAAAAAACTTATGAACGCCACTGTAATCTGGTGGTCAGAGTTCCTGGCTAGAGATATAGAGGTCCCGGTTCGATTCCCGGCGCTACCAGATTTTCTGAGAAGTAGTGGGTCTGTAACGGGGTCCACTCAGCATCGTGAGGATAATTGAGGAGCTATTTCAAAGAGATAGCGGCTCCGGTCTAGAAAACCGAAAATAACGTCCGTAGGGATTCGTTGCGCTGACCACGCGACACCCTCTATCCGCTAAAGTTGGCACTAAGTTCGCCGACAAGCGGCGGTTGCTCGGTCGGTATAGTTCGCTTGCGGACTAAAGCCACGGAGCGTTTTATTTCTTTGTTTTATAGTAGATTTATACAGTTGTATTTTCTTATTTTATAGACGTTAGGTTTTTAAATTGATGGCCCGAAAATAAAGGATGCTGAGCAGAATGGTACCAGCCTTGTCCACAAGCATTAATATGCTCGTAATCCTTTCGGGCATGTAATTGGATTCAGTACTGAATAATTTTGAGAACGGAAGAATATTTAAATGTAGAAAAGTTTGTAATTTACTGCTGCAGGATGAAATTACTTGACATTTCACATATAACCGATGAAAAGGCTTAAGTTCGTAATAAAACTGTTACTTTCTACACACTCGATGTTTTATTTCTTTACTAGAATCTGTATTTACATTACATAACCTTACTACTATGTTCACTGGTGAGGCATATGTGCGATAGAAATGTTTGTAGAGTTTATGACTTTGTGCTGTCGTTTGAAGAGATGGTCAAAAGACATCAGCTGAAGACCTGTGTATTCCATTTTTCAGGTAGTGCTGGTCTTGTCTAGGCTACGACCGCAGTACACCTTCTCACACACCCGCAAGTCGTCGCCACCTCTGCTCGGAATTGTGGCCATCGCCATGGCACTCCCTCCACCCAGCGTCCATGAGATACGCCTCGAGTCCGACATGTTTGTTACCCGTATCAACTTCGACTTCCGGATAGCCCACTGCGAACCCAGGTAAAACTGATAATTACTGACGTCTTAAGGTTATCACAGCAGCGTTAATGTGGTCTGGAAGGAGTTCCGAAAGACAGCGTGTTATCTCTCAGTTAGCGTGTAGAAATATGATGACAAGCGAACATGAATATATACGCCCATATTTCATATGTATCTTTACTAATTCTAGGAATTCATTCCGTGCTGTGTGAAATTATTTTCTTTGTCTTGTTTTTGCTTTGTTCTTTCATTCTTCCGTTTCTTTACCGTCTTTCTTGTTTTTATCTCTCTTCGTTCTTCCTCTCTTTGGCTTTCTAGTATCGTTCTTCTAAGGCCGCGCCATAGCCCAAGCGGTTAGTCGCTGGCTTCCCAAAGCGGCGGCCCGGGTTCGATCCCGGGTCTGGTCAAGTGGGATTTGTGGTGCACAAAGTGGCGCTGGGGCTTAGGTTTCCCCTGCCAATCTTCATTCCACCAATTGCTCCACAATCACCCTCACCTCTTATCTGGGGCTGGTACAATAGGCCAGAATTGGCCGCAGTACAAGGGACTTAGTCCCACCCCACTAGCAATAAAAAAGTTCTTCTGCGTTCTCTCTGTACCTTCTTTCAACCATGCAAGGGGGATCAAAATATGACACTCCTGACATATCCGGGAGGTGGCCAGGTCAGATCTGGGCTGGGACACTGGCAATCCAAGCTAGAGATTTCGCGGCTTTTATCTCAGTCTCCTCTACCCCACTGGTAAATGCTAGGATATTCCTCGTACCCCAAATTAGGTCACGACCACTTCCTTCCAAATCCATTCCAATTCATTATTCTTTATCATCCTACCATTTCACCCTACAAGTATCATCTAAGCTAGTGCCGGCATCATTAAATAAACCATATGTAAAAAACAAATATACCTCCATCTTTCACTTCGTCCTGATTTGCTTCAGTTTCTTCCATTAATTATTTGTGTTTTCGCTACTCCTCTTCCTGTGTCTTTGTTCCGTAATTCCTTCCAAACATTCACTGGTGACGTCATTACTTGCAGCCCGATTGCAATTTTCCTTTGTTTACGTGGCATGTCTGTCTGATACTTGAAATGTTGCAGAGTGTCGGAACTACTGGACTACACCGCGGAGGAGCTGACGGGGAAGAACCTGTACGCACTGTGCCACGGAGAAGACGCCAACAAGCTCCGCAAGTCGCATGTCGACCGTAAGTTACGTTTAGGACCCAAGCTGGTCTCCAACGTTAATGAACTTTCCGAGAGAGGTCATTATTACGACCCTAAAATGTACACGTATCTTTCTATACAACAAATTTCTGAAGACACTGCTTGAGATTATGGTAACACAGTGCGCCGATAGAACACTGCGGCTCTGGCTATAGATAGATTTAATTTTACTGGTGGTGGATATACCAGCAATAGCCCCCATTCTCATGAATAATGCTTATTTAGAAGAGCTTCTGGAAACCTGTATTCTATGTTTTTTTCAGCATTGAATTTTATGAAGTTATGATTGTATCGTGATTACACGAAGCCCCTAACCCAACAAAAGAATACAAAAAAAAAAGATTTATAATCTCTACAGATATATGCAGAAACTTGATGCATCTGTATTATTGTAAGAATATCTGTATTACGTTGGAGGTTTTGTATGTTATTCTCATTCGAAGGTTTTGCAGGGCTGTCAACTACACAACACACGAAAGCCCTAATGATTTAATTTACACGAGTATGTACCAGAGATATACTGAACTACCAGAATTGGGGACAAAGAAAAAATGTGTTACCTTTCATGAAACTATAGCGCAAATTCTTGTGGGGCAGGTAGGCCTCTGGGGCACTCATTAGCGTAGTTGGTTTGAGGGACTGTGCTACAAGCCGGAAGGTCGCTGGTTCGATTCCTGATGAGGTCATTGGATTTTTCAATTGACCTAATGTTTCCAGCCGCGCTATGGCCCTGGGGTCGACTCAGCCTCTACCAGAAATATTCCTGGGGGTGAAGGGCGGCTGACGCGTAAGGCTGACATCATCGCCATCTGTTAGCCGATTGTCTAGAAAATGTGGGAGCCTCGACGTCTCACAAACCTATGGGCCTCCATGGCCTGTTACAGGGATAGCTTTACCTTTTATGTACGCCTCTACGCCTGTTATTTCTATCAATTGTTGAATCATCTTTCTATGAAAGCCAGTAAATTACTGCGCCAAGCACAAAGGAGGAACCAGAAATAAAACGAACAAATCAAGAAAAGGAAGGATGGGTCTTTTCGAGGTGTTGTCACAAATGAAGCAGAATTTGAAACGGGGCACACTCGACCTTCTCATTCCGAGTTAGAGGCAGGTTAGAGTTGAAATATGTAATTCCGTTATTTCGTTAGAGTGTCTAGGAATTTCGTACATATTCTGAACGGTGTAATGTGGAAAGAGTTTTAAACTGAAACTGATCATTCGTAGAATATATATACACGTATATTTCATGAAGCAATTAATTCGGGGCAGTAAAAATGTGAAGAAACGAGAATTTAATTAGGTCTTAGATTAGGTAAGTTGAAGTAAAGCATATAAACCTAACTTCATTCCACGCATTACCTGCTCTGTGTTACTTATTCTATGGAATGCCCCGAGGAATTGTCCGATTACATACCTTAAGTGAAGCGTTCACTTAATTTGAAAAATGCCTGGTTATCCTATGGAGAATTGATTTAAACAAATTTAAATGTAACGCATATAGTAAACGAAAATAATAATAAATACCAGTTACGTGCTAGTAAGTAAATTACTTGAATTTTATTTTGTTTACTTTGTCTAATATTGTCACGTTTATGAGTGATTATAGACGGGATTCGAATTGGTGAATGGGTATATTGACCACTTCTACACACCGCTCGGAATTATAAGCAATTACAACGCCATCGCTAATCTCAGCAATCTAGTAGTAATCACCACAGCATCCGCTAATCCTTTTCCGGCCTGCTGTGTCTTCACCAGCCGTTCCCTGGCAGCGGCTTCTAACAGTGGAACTTCTTCAGCTTAACGCACTCAGGTTCTACCTTCACAGCCTCCTGTACAGAACTCAACTGAACTCATTTACGTCAAAGTCACATTGCAACTGACGGTCGGTCAGTCAGTCAATCAGTCAGCCTTAGTGTCGAGCACCATTTGGGACTCATGACCAGATATTTATTACTGTTTAGTAGTTGCAGTCTTGTTATTGTTGGGCGCCCTCTCTGACGGGAGGACGGATCTGTCTTCTGTCAGCGTCATTGTCAGCAGTAGTAAGTCATTTGTCATAATGTAAAAGATGATTATATTTTATATGTTAAACGTGATAAAAAGTTTATATACAATATATACAGGGCCTCTTGTCAGTCCATGCTACTGAACTCATTGCTCCATCTTTCCTTGTTGTAACATCGGCGCGTGCCATATAGAAAACATCGTTATTCTATTGTTGCATTCGTATCCACTGCCGCAGGAACGTGTTTACCGAATCGTCGCCCAGAAACTACCGCGGCACATACCACAGAAAACGCCTTTCTTCTATTGTTCCGTGCGTGCACGTCGCGGGCGTTACCTAGCAACGGCAGCTATTTACAGAGTCACTGCTTAGGAACGGGTCAATACGCCATAATATTGTCCACTTGTAGATCTGAATATCGCTGCAGGTCGTATTGAATTGATCGTCATAATACTCGTAGGCCTCGATGTCTTTCTCCCCCAGATTCTCTGCTCGGTAGCTCATCAGGCTTCACACGGTGTCTACGAACATGTTCACAGACGGATGTATGACTGTAGCAAAATGCTTACAGGTATCTTCACGTTGTTTGCCGCTAGGGAATTTTTAAACGCTACTTGGCAGCTATTTTCAAAACCTTTGTTGCGAGGATTTTCACCCACTATTCGCCCTTCCACACACACTTCCCTCCCTACGCTTGTTCTCTAATGCAGTTTAAGGGCTTCACTCTTTTTTCTCACTTCACACATAACGGGATAGGCCAGTGGCGTGGACTTCACGGGGTTGTTCCTGGTTTCAACCCAGGTTTAGCTATAGTTGCGAATTAATAAGAACTCGTGGTTAGTGTTTTTTTTATTGCTAGTGGGGTGGGACCAAGTCTTTTGTGCTGCGGCCACTTCTGGCCTATTGTACCAGCCCCAGATGATAGTTGAGGGTGATTGTGGAGCAATTGGTGGAATGAAGATTGGCAGGGGAAACAGAAGTACTCGAAGAAAACCTGCCCCAGCGCCACTTTGTCCACCACAAATCCCACTTGACCAGACCTGGGATCGGGAAGCCAGCGACTAACCACTTGAGCTATGGCGCGGCCTGGAGTTAGTGGCTACACCCCTACATCCATGTCAAAGTTGTGCAAGGGGCGAGGGAACGTGGCGTATCCATTATGATTCTCCTCACATGTAATGGACGTCTAAAATGCTTAACTCGCTTGTGTGTCAGTCCGTCTGTTCCAACTACTTTTTCAGATTTATCCCCCCCCCCGAAATTTTGACTGTGAATATTTTAGCGTATTTCAATTCCTAAAACTTTTTTTTTGTCAGTTCCCCGAACATTGATCCCACAGGCACGGGTTACAATCGCTCGGAATAAAAACAGATTCTCTGAGTTCATATCTTCTTCATAAGGTTAAGTCCGAGTAACTGGAAATATGAATATCAGGAATACAGGAAGTTCGTGCAGCCAGAAAACACTCCGAGACGAGAGGGGCGGTGAAGATTATTAGACTTGTCAATGTCGTATTATTTTAAATGCTACTCTGGGGACGGATTCACAGAACATGAGGAGTTCACACCTTTTTCCTTTACAAAGTCCACATTGCCGGATTATTTTCTGTTTGTCGGCCGCATTACGAAGAGCATATTTTTTGTCAACGACACTCTATCTAGAAAAATGAATTAATCCATGAATAACCTAAGTGTATTTGCCACTTTCACGAAGGTCACTTGTTCCCTGACAGTAAGGAAGGAACATAGACTGAGGGTGTTTGAGAACGGGGTGTTGAGGGCAATATTTGGACCGAAGAGGGATGAAGTGACCGGAGGTTGGAGAAAACTGCATAATGAGGAGCTTCATAACTTGTACTCTTCTCCAAGTATAATTAGAATGATCATATCAAGGAGGATGAAATGGGCAGGGCATGCAGCAAGAATGGAGGAGGAGAGGAATGCATATAGGATATTGGTGCGAAATCGAGAAGGAAGACCAAGACGTAGATGGGTTGACGATATTAAAATGGATCATAGAGAGATAGGATGGGATGGCATGGATGATCTGGCTCAGGATAGAGACCAGTGGAGGGCTCTTGTGAACATAGTAAAGAACCTTAGTTTTCCATAAAATGCTGGCAAGCAGTAGTAGTCATATTTATGTAGGAGTTTCTTTGAGACCCCTACCTGAATGTACAGCGACAATGACAGTGACTGACTGAATTAGTGAGGAACTAAAGATAGATGCTATTCATTCATCTATGGCTCTACAGGTATTTGTCGGTCCTTGGCAGCTTTTTTAGTTTCGTAAACCAATACACAGTCGGTAGACCTCTTTGGACCGGGGATCAGCCTCTCGCAAGGCCGCTACCTACTCACAGGACATCACAAACACAGAATAAACTCACACACACATCCGTGCCTCGAGTGGGATTCGAACTGATGACCGCACTGTCGAACGGGCTAAGACAGTTCATGGCTTATACCGCGCGGCCACTTAGATTGGCAGATCGATACTATAGTCGAGATTATTACTCTGTATATAAGAAGATACGAAAGTGTCATGCGGATAAAAAAGGATGAATATGTTTAACTGAGATTAGCATAGAAGTATAAACTTACAAAAAAAACTCCGTGGTTTTAGTCTGCAAGCGAAATACCGACCGAGCGACCGCCGCTTGTCGGCGAATTTAGTGCCAACTTTAGCGGGTAGAGGGTGTCGCGTGGTCAGAGCAACGAATACCCACGACCGTTAATTTTTATTTCTAGACCGGAGCCGCTGTTTCCTAGAAATAGCTCCTCAATTATCCTCATGAGGCTGAGTGGACCCCGTTACAGACCCACTACTTCGTAGAAAATCTGGTAGCGTCGGGAATCGAACCCGAACCTCTAAATCTGTAACCACTAGACCACAGAGGCGGTCATAAACTTACAAAGCGCGAGCACGTCTAATAGCAAGACCAAGGAGGCCGGGACAGACGTTAAGTTGCCTGAAAGACAGTAGGATCCGCCACTGCTGTGTTCATGTCACATCCCCCAGAACCTGCCGACGAAACGAGAACTATTGAATTGTTGGTACTACTCTATGTAGAGACTTGTCGTGAGTTCGGGAGGGGAGTGGGTTTTGAGTATTCACGTTGCGTTTTGTCTCCGGATGTGCGCTACATCTCAAGTCGGTTGTAACGTCCCTTTCTGTCTCTGAAGCCTCCCCTCTTACACCCACCTTCTCTCTTTCTCGTTCTCTCTCATTTTCCTCCATGAAGGCCTGAATTTTCTCTTCGTTTCTCCTTTAAACCTTCATTCCAAAAACTATACTTTTCTCATACACCTACTCTTTCTTTTCCTCTTCTTTTTCGAGTTTGTCTCTTTCCCAGTGTTCCTTATGGGGCGCCCCTCTCTCTTTCTGATACCCCCCCTCTTCAGTTTCCCAAATTGTCCCTTCCTCTTGTACGGCTTAACGTGGTAAGACAATGGCATAACGTAAACCAAAACAGAGGATAGAAACAACAAAGCTATTTTCAAGTTTCCCTGAACATTTGTCCATTAACACTGCTTCCTGCGTCACCGGTACTGACGTTTCCATGTCCACAGTCTCCTGAACAAACTGATATTGTAGGCAGTTTTTGTTAGAACACATACTGTTGGTAATTCAGCAATATCTCTTGACCTTGAACTCTTTAAAGCACAGTGGCTACTGTATATACACCTGCTTCCACAGTAGAAAACCCTCCATATTGCCCACAGAGCATATTTGTATGCACAGAGATATTGGGTTTTCGGACTTTATCCATCGTCCTGGTTTTTAAGATAACTAAGAAAAAACACGACATTTCGGAAACTGGATCTGTTTCCGTCCTCAGGTGAGGTAAAACACCTATTCTGTTGGGTCCCTTAGAAAGAGCTAGCCTCAATCATTCGCATTACACTGCGCCATATGGATCTATCGAGAAAGTGTGAATTAAAATGCATCTAATTAGGTTTATAATAACTTTGCATCTTGTGTACTCGCATCATTACTCTGGCACTCTCCATCTCACAATATTTCCCTTATTTTCACCCGGGACCTTCAATTGCTTGACACTTAAACACAACCCGAAATTTGAGAACTGCTCAGAATTCGACAGTCCCAGTTGATAAAGCAGAAATGATCATATGTAACCATCAGGGAGCTATTAATACATTATTATTATTATTATTATTATTATTATCATCTTTATCATCATCATCATCATCATCATCTCTTGTCACAGGTTTATTTCCTGGTATTCCTTTTCTTGAACCAGTGATGCACCTCACCACTCAGGCTTCAAGCTTCGCACTGTAGCACTTTCCGTAGTATGTGTGATGTTCCCAGGATAGCTGTTTTTTGCAGTGAATCTATGGAGTGCTTACCAGGAATTAGTGCCAAATATTTCCTCAACCCTCTCGTGACTGTACCCGTGGCTCCAATAATTACTGGTATCACAAAACATTTCATGTTCCACATTCGCTGAATTTCGATGCTTAAATTTTTATATTTTAATTTCTTCTCTGCTGCTTTTTGTACTACATTATTATTATTATTATTATTATCATCATCATCATCATCATCATCATCATCATCTTAAATTTGCGTTGCCCATCCGAATATTCTTGCAGAGGAAACCATTGTGTCCGTGCCCTCGTGGTTTTCTACCTGTGTTTTAGGATTTTAACGTCTTTGGACCCTGTTATCCACTCTTCCAAGTGATTTCAGTTGAATGTACCACGAGTCTTCCTTTGCAGTGATCAACAAGGGGCAAGTGATGACACAGTATTACCGAGTGATGAACAAAAATGGCGGATATACGTGGGTGCAGACATGTGCTACTGTTGTTTGCAACTCGAAAAATGCCGAGGAACAGAACGTAATCTGCGTCAACTACGTCATCAGGTACGCTGTCGTACACGACCATTTTGGACCGTAATTCAGTTATTAAAATAATTTTCTTCTCTAGAGATCTCGCTGAATGCACCACACTCTCTGAATTTCTCTTAATTCGTAGTCGATATAGTGTGTCATTAAAATATAAATTAAACTTTTGATATGAAAGTTTAATATTTCTTTGTTCACAAAGATCTACAATCGTCCAAAATGTCTCAATAAGTGCTTTTTATGTAGAGTTATTTTAGTCACCGCAATTTTCTTCTTTTTTTAATTGTACTGTTCGATTTCAAATTATTTTCGGAGTTTCCGTGGCCTATGATTGTTAAACCGGAAGTATAAAATAAAACTGCTTACGGAATATGAAATACACTCAAAACTCTTTATTGCCCGTAGAATAAATCTTTTTGAGTTACATTTTCATATTCCCCAAGCAGTTTTATTTTATATTTTCGGTTTAAAAATTATAGGGCACAGAAACCCAGACAGTAATTTAGAATCGCCCTCATCATCATCTACAATCCGGAACTGGTAAAACAGGCCAAATACTGGCCGACGTACCAAGTGGACCCAGTCTCACCCCACCCAAAGAAATAAAAAAATATACATTGGGACTGACCTCTCGCCCAATATTGTGAGTCGGTATAGCGACGGGTTGGACGGCCGTGGTTTCGATTCCCGGTAGGGGCAAGAGTATTTCTCTTCTCCACAGAGTCCAGACCGGCTGTGGGGCTCATCCAGCCCCTTAGCCACTGAGCACTAGGGTTAAGCGGGGGGAGCTAACCTGTCACCTCCATTTACCTCTTGTTTCACCTTTGCTACTCACGAACGTAACTAGCATTGTCTAGACGACTCGGTAAGGTTCAAGTTCGGTTCCTACTTGCAGTAAAACTCAGGGTTTTATGCGACCACTGTCCAGACTGGCTGTGGAGCCTAGCCGATCTCCCTACTAGTGGCATCTGAGGAGAGTACTGCCGGAGCTAAAGCGAATGGAGCACAGTTATAACGCCCCCCCGTTAAAGACCGAGGTTACAAACGCATGGATTTTTACATCCGTCCACTGCCGGGATGGCTCAGTCGGTATAGCAATGGGTTGGAAGTCCGGGGTTCAATTCTGGGGAGGGGCAAGAGACTTTTCTCAATATCACAATGTCTAGACCGGCTCTGGGGCCCATGTAATATCCTGATATCTCTCCTCGAAACGGCCTGAGTGTGAAGCTGACCATTCACCTACATATAGTGAAGAGTGGAGCTATACCTTCACTCCCCCACACGTCTTCATGGCATTGTGATTAATTAATTAAGCAGTAGTAAAGCTTTGCCTTTTTCTCCTATATACGTCAGTGGTGTAGTGTTTAGGTACAAGGCAGAGCTACTAAAACTTTCTAATAATAAGTAAATTTCTTCCGAAGAGTTTACGAGGTATTTCCGCTGGGGCATAACGTCGTGTAGCCCGGTGAAAACTGCTAGACGTTTAAGAGGAACATGTCGCCTCCATCTTCAGGGTTGAAGAGTAAGCCAAGAAGGAAATCAACATGAAGCAGGCAGAAAGCTTGCATCATGCTGAAACTGTGGTTAATATGTTCCTCCGAAACGTCAGTTAGTTTCACAGTAGTATAAGACGTCATATCCCGGAGTATAGAACTCCTTATGGCCACCGCTGTGAGGACCTCAGAGCCTTCATCTGAGGGTCTGTGCTGCATACTCGAATTTAAAAGGCAGTGTTATGGTTCTTGTAGCGGTCGCGAGTACGAGAACCTCATCATGGACTGCTGTCAGATGCAAGACAGCGTGCAGACTGTGAAGAGGGAAGAGACTGGGGGGAACGACCCCGAGAATGGATCCCCGGACGCTGACCGTGGTGGTGAGTACGCTGGATGCTGTTTGTCATGAAAACGAAAATTATTTGGGCACAGGGGGAAAGAAATAAGTTGGAAATTTAGAATTTAGAATGATAAATCACGGTAATATTTTCCAAGATCACCTAATACTGTTGTTAAAAGTGAAATTTGGAAAGTTATGTTAGATGCAAGCATATAACTCAGGTAGACAGAAAGAGCGATTTACAAGAAGAAATCCTCTTATAAGGGAGACAATTTAACCACCGAAAAGAAATGGTGATCATATTAAAATTAATCTCAGGCAGAAGGTTTATCAGACTTAATTGGTATAAATTTTTGTTCCTGTTACTCCCACTATGACCACAGGGCATATGTGAAACTCTTCGTTTCGTTTCAGTTTCTTAATCTTAGACAGTCGGTAGGAATCCTTGGACGGGAGATCAGCCCGTCGCAAGGCCGCTATTTACACAGCACAACAAAAACACAAAATAAACGCAGATGAACATCCATGCCTTGAGTGGGATTCGAATCCACGATCCTAGTATTGAAGGAAGCGAAGACATTTCATTCTTTTAGACCGCGCGGCAACTGTGATGCTATGAACAAACAAACTGATAAATATAAGAAACAATGAAATATTAACTACCTAACTACTAATCAAATAATTTCTATGTATTTATTTGGATACCTGATTCAGCAGAAAATATTCGACGAACTACATGCTGTGGAGACATTCTTGAGAAGCTGATAGTCCCTCAGCTTATCAGGATAATCCCAACCTTTTATGGAACCTGAAGCCCATGATTGTAATCAAGTCCGCAGTCTCGCGCCCTATTTCTTTACTGTCCACTTTAATACTTTCTTTTCTGCTTCATTCTGCGATGCTGAGACTGTATCGTGAAGTAATAGGATCGATGAATGAGCTGGAAAGGATTTGGAAGGAAACGGTCGTGGCTGAATCCAGACTCTAACCTGGCCTTTTTCAGGAGGAGCAGAGGGAAGCCCAGTAAGGGCAACTGGTCTCCAGGCCGAGGTTCGAGCACCGGCTGAATACTAGTCTAGAGAGTTACTGCTACATCAGCCTTCTCAGTCATTTTAATATTATCCTCCCATTTTCGCCTAGATATAAAGGATCTCTTCCTTTCAATGTTTCGGATTTAAATTGTGAAGGGATTTGTCTTTCTCCCCATGTGCTCTACACGTCCCTCCCATATCATTCTCTCTACCAATTTTAGTGGTGTAAAGTACAAATTATTGGGGGCACGTGGTATCGTAGTTGGTTGAGGCAATATGCTACAAGTTGGAAGGTCGCGTGTTCAAGTCCCGATTAAATCATTTGATTTTTCAATTGACCTAATCCTTCCAGCCACACTACCGCCCTGGGATCGACTAAACCTGTAACAGATATGAGTACCAGGAATCTTCCTGGGGGACAAAGGGCGGCCGGGCCGTTAGGCTGACAACCTTGTCACCATCTGTGAGCAGATTTTCTAAAGAAAATGTGGGTGCCTCGTCGTCTCACAACCGTATGGGCTTCCACGGCCTGTTACAGGAAAAGCTTTACCTCAAAATGCAAGTTATCGTTCTCTTATCTTGGGTTACATAATTCTCTCCCGTCTCCTGTTACGCTCTGCTTAGGTCCGGATAGTCTCCTCGGAACTTTGCCCTCATACACCCTCAGTCAGTCACACTCTTCACTGCAAGATTCCAAGTTTCACTCCATGGGATAGAGTAGGCAGAATTGTAGTTGAAAAGTTCTGTTCTCTAGGATATAACATTATGTAGTCTGTTGAAAATCACTGACGTTTCGGAGGAATGTATTGCTTACATCTTCAGGGTCCGCTCTGCCCGTTACCTGCTTAATGCTGGTTCCTTGATTGATTCATACTTCGACCGTGAAGATAGAGGTGTCATGTTCTTCCGAAATGTAGGTTCACTTTCAACGGGCAACTCCGAATTATACCCCCAGAAGATAGGACCCTTCATAGCCACTGCTGTGAAACGCTCCAAATCCTAGAAAATAGTAGTTTATATTTTAACCCTGAAGATTTTGTTTATATGCGGATCTAAGCCCAGTGCTAGCAAGCATTCCCTGAATTTAACGCAAACTTAATTTATTCGTGAATTTAGTATTTCGATTTCTTCCTGTCATCCAAATTATTTCAACTTTTCCATAAATTCGAATGATTTCTTTGCCCATAATACAATTTTATTTACATATTATGTGTATTAACATCTTGTCCAAACCTGTACTAAGCAGACTGAGTATATATGTTTTGTTTTCTTATATAAATTTTTCTGTATTTCGACTTAATGTCGTTTATAGCTCAGGCGGTTACTCGCCGGATTCCTACCACTGCGACCCGGGTTTAATCCCCCAGCTCATGTGGAATTTGTAGTTGAAAAGTGGCACTGTGGCAGGTTCCTAGTGCTTCAGTTCTCCTACCAATTTTCATTCCACCAACTACTCCATATTCATTGGTCATCTTATCATCAACGCTATGTAGTCCATATACTGAGGGCGTCGTTAAGTAACTAGTATATTTTGTTCAACCCCTATTTTTTATTGCTACTGGGGTAGGACTAAGTCCCTTGTACTGCGGCCACTTCTGGCCTATTGTATCAGCCCCAGATGATAGGTGAGGGTGATTGTGGAGCAGTTGGTGGAATGAAGATATGCAGGGGAAACCGAAATACTCGGAGAAAATCTGCCCCAGCGCCACTTTGTCCACCACAACTCCCACTTGACCAGACCCGGGATTGAACCCGGGCCGCCGCGGTTGGAAGCCAGCGACTAACCGCTTGAGCTATGGCGCGGCCTAGTTCAACCCCTATAAACAACTTACGAATTTTCCATTCTCGTATGTGTAAGAAATCATAAAGCGAATGAGAGTACATCTGGATACTGGATAGAGAACAGGCTCTTATGCACGTTACTGATGGGGCTACAGGGTACAGTCACCTCTTCTAACTGCTGTGTACGGCACAGGTTAAAGTTTAACAGCCACTTTTCTGTAATAATTTGCATACGCTGTGTTACTGATGGGGAGGGGATGCTCGCTCTACCTTGTACATGAATCCTACCCTTCCAGTCTCCTCGTTTTGAAAGCAGAACGTAATTTGGTTGAATGACTAATGCAACTTGTATAAAATCGCCGTCAGCTATAGGCAACTTCTCCAGCTTTCGTGTCGTGCGGGTCAGCCTGAACAATATGGACCCAATGTTTTTATTCCGTTGGTAATGTTACATGCACACTAAGCAAAGACCAAGTATCGCAACCTTAGCGCAAGTAAGGCAAGCTCTGAAGGTTCTGAAGGCTCCGAAGGCCAGTTTCTCAACAGTAACTGTATACAAAATGAAAGTGCTTTACACTAGCATCTTTGGCAATACGAACTGAATATTGGGCAAGATCTGAGATTCTGGTGGCAATGAAAGGAAAGAGTACTAACTTCTGAGATGTGACTCCGTGTAGTCTGATTGAAGTTTACCGACGGTTCAGAGGAACCTACTGACTCCATCTGTTCTGCTTGCTTATTCTTCGACGCTGAAGATGAAGGTAGTACGCTCCTCCCGAAACGTTTGTGAACTCCCATTAGACTGCACGGAGTCACATCCAAGAATTTAGAGCTCTTTATTATACTGAATATTACTTAACGTACTGAGGGCTTTTCAATGGTTGCATCTTCTTTTTGCTCTTTATAACTAACAAAAGTAAACAATTCCACGGAGCGGAGTTCATTTGTAGAAAAGCTTATAGCCTATTAGAAGTTATTGTCTTGGCTTTCGCCGATAGAGACTGAGAAAAATCACAAAACCTCAGCAAGCATAATCTATAACTTGGAGAAGATTTGAAAAGCATGTCTCTTTAATATAAATTTAGAGCCTTATTGTTATACAGGGTGGGGCGCAGAAACTTCCGCGACTGCTGCGTTCGCCGAGGCTATCCCCACTTTTCTACGACCTCCCCTCCCTTCACAATGCGTCTTCACATAAAGGAAGTTTCTGTGCCCCACCCTGAATCATGCTACTCTATGAGCACTTAAATTAAATTCTTTCTCTTCATTCTGTTGAGCTGAGTACATTGTCTTGCTCTATCTTCACTTCTCTTGCAGTCAGCCCTGTTTGTTTGCGGCAGCATCCCGCAACAGTAAGGCCATATGCACCTATAAATGCAATCTGTATAACATAGTCTTAGAAATGATTTTACAGTTTTGCAGTGTGCCATAAACATAGCTCCCTTTCAGACCAACTTTTAACGGTGATAAATTTAGCCCAGTAATATTACAAATTGCCGGTCACGGTAGCCGAGCGGTCTAAGGCATGTACTGTCTTCGCTCACTTGGAAACCGGAATCGTGGGTTCGAATCCCACTCAGGACATGGAAGTATAGTTTGTGTGTGTGTGTGCGTTTTTCTGTGTTTGTGTACAGGTAGAGGCCTTGCGACGAGCTGATCACCCGCCCAAGGAGGCCTACCGAATGTGTAAGATTTAGAAAAACCGAAGTGAACGGAGAAGTTCATGGAGGTAGGCCTAGCCCCCCTGGGGCTGTAGTGCCAAGAAAAAAAATATTACAAATTAATGCTAATATGCATTAATATTGACCATTTAAGCATGCAAATTCTATTAAGTTATCCGTATACTTAATTGTAGGTTTAATATAGGTCTGTGAGTAGAGCTAATAAGAATCAGCTTTTAAAACCGAATCTCGCCCCAGAGCTGGCAGCTGATTACAACAGAGAACGACTATGATGCTACAAGTGTCCGTCAAATGTAACTGTTTTACAAGCACAGACAGATTACTAAATTACTATTTGATTGTTATCACAAAAAGCGAACAAAATTGGCATATTATGAAAAGTGTGATCTTTTTAAAAGCTCTCTGCACAAAATCCCTATTTGGATTTGTTCAGACCGCTAAAATAATTAGGATACATTCGAATTCAGATATCTGCTTTCTATATTGGAACTCAGATGTCTACTTTAAAAAAAAATAAGATGAATTCGCATTAAAATTTATAAGCTATTGGCATAAAAGTGATTGTATACGAGTAAACACCAAGATAAAACTACAGAATACATCAAAATAGGTAACATATTCAGAAAAAGTCAGAACTGGACGGTTTCTTTTAACAGTTGCCTTCATTTTCAATTTTTTTTTTCTTTTACGTTTTGTGACATGTTAATAGCTTCACAGCTGTTATGAATTGATTTCGTACTCAAGTTTATTACAGACCCATCTTTGGAGATGACAGTAAATAGCAATTGAAGTAGACGTTAAAGTGAAAGTGGTTGTGCTATCTAGCAGGAATACTTGAAACTTCGTGCTTTAATGAATACCGATGAAACAGCGACACCGGCGACTTATGTGAAGTATATCGTCAACAGATGGCTCTCCGGTCGATATACATGATAGAATAAGATACGAATGTGCTACAGAAGGCCGAATGGGCATTTCCTAGGCCTTTTTTGTATTTACAATATTTTTTCTACAATAAAGAAAATTGTTTCAGCATTAGGAACCACTCGTCAGTTGGCTTTTAAATGCGTGAAATCCCTTCGTTTGTTTACTTTCCTTTCGGCTCCCTGTTCACAGATTCCATGTGTCGTGTATTTGTGTGTGAAACGTTATAAATAAATTCACGAAAGAGAACTTAAAATGCGTAAAAAAATATAACATCAATAATATAACGATGATTCTGCGAGCCCCAAATAACCTTTCTGGTAACCTCCTTACGTTGTTTTTAAAGATTTTGTCAATATGATTGATATCAAGATATCCTGACAAAATTATTAACGTCTACAATTAAATTTCCATTGCTCGAAATCAGGAGATCGTTGCCTGAGCCTCGGGGCCCTTTGTGGTCAAGCCCTCCCATGTCATGATTCACACTCTGTACCACAAACATACCTGTTATAGAGACTGGATGGTGTAAACGTTCATTCAATATAGATTTTTTTTTTCTGTGGCGCTACAGCCCCAATTTGGGCCTAGGCCTACCTCCATAAAACTCTCCGTTTCACTTCGGTTTACTAGATCTTACACATTCGGTAGGACTCCTTGGGCGGGTGATCAGCTCGTCGCAAGGCCTCTACCTGTACACAAACACAGGAAAACGCACACAAACATCCATGCCCTGAGTGGGATTCGAACCCACGATCCCGGCTTCCGAGCGAGCGAAGACCGCTCTGCTACCGTGACCGGCTCAATATAGATATAGTAGGGTAAATTAAGGTACATCATCAGTAAAATATTCTTGTAATTCTTTGGAAAAACAAATAGAATTCTTTGAACATATCTGAAAGTTCGCATTTGAAATAAACTGCTCACATAAAATAACATCAATGGAAAAACAAGTCTTCAGCAGTTCATTTATTTAAACTTTGTTCCTGATACATATAATACATTATTCTAGGTTCGAGAGGGGGTTCCACTCTCTTAGTCTTACATGTACTTCAAAGATTAGATTAATTTTACTAATCACTCCTTTAATTTCCATCACATTAAGAAATGTTTGGTAAAGAAAGTTAAAATTTGGGTTTCTGAGACATGGATGCCATGTTGCCTGTGCTGTGTTGAAGGAGCTCAACATTCTTCAGAAAGATACTGTATATAAAATTTAAACCAGTGGCATAGCACATTGTGTAATAAAAGACAGGGCCATGGTATCGTGTTCCTATGTCCCCCCCCCTTTGCCCTGTAACTTTGAACCAGTAAACGGATTTTCTTCAACTATAAAGATAAAGTTGTCCCTATGCTTAACGAATTAAGCACTACGCCGGGAAGGTGTATGGAGGAGGGTATGTATAGATCCACATTTTCTTGACCTCTGCACTCGCTGGAGGTGAGTGGTCAGCTTCACGCCCCGGCCGCTTTACCAACGGTACCCATTGGATAGCAGGTTGGGTGGACCCCAGAGCCGGTCTGGACGACTTGGAGAAGAGAAAATTCTTGACCCTACCGGGACTTGAACTCCGACCCCTCTGCCGTTCAGCTCGTAGCCAGTCGCTATACCGACTACGCTACCCTGGTTCCTTTCTTCAGTTATAGGGCAGCAAAATTGCTTGGCCGGTCACGGTAGCAGAGTGTTCTAAGACATTCTTCATAGTCATCGCCGTGGAAACCTAAAATCTTACATAAGGCATGTACTGTCTACGCTCGCTCGGAAGCCGGGATCGTGGGTTCGAATCCCATACATGGCATGGATGTTTGGTATGTGTATGTGTTTATTCTGTGTTTGTGTTGTCCTGTGTTTAGGTAGAAGCTTTGCGACGAGCTGATCACTCGTCCAAGGAGTCCTACCGTGTGTCAAATGTTCATGAAACGGGAAAAAAATCAGAGGCCAGGGCACAAGGGGGCTGTAGAATCAGCGGAAAAAAAATTGTTTGAACTTTCAACTGTCCTCGATAAATTACACCAACACAGGCACTGTTCGAACGTCTGAGGTGGAAGCGGAAATACAGTCACTTACATAACGTTTTAACATTTTGTATGGTAACAGATCTTTAATAAGTTCCTAACAGAACTAGAAAAAACTACATTTATATTGTACGGACTTGACTCCTACAAATTTGTTTTGTTTATCTCATACTTAGGTAGGCGTAATCTGAATTTAAAGTTCATCAGCGAAATTCAGTGACTCATGGGCTAGGCTCGTGCGTAGATGTCTATAAGATCGAATTTCGGTCGAATAGAATGTCTATTGTTTGCAATTCTAATTGTATTATATACTACTACTACTACTACTACTAATAATAATAATAATAATAATAATAATAATATAATTCATTTTGTTATATTATTTTCCTTGTTTTGGAAGAATTTGTTACTTAAGTACATATTCTATATGCTTAATACTCTTGACTTGTAATTTTGGGGTTCTCTGTTCGAACTTCGGCCCGGACACCGACTATCGTGAGGTTTTCCTTGTTTTTCCCAGTCCCCCAGGCAAATGCCGAAATAGTACATTGAATAAGACCCCTTCCAATCCATCAGCTATCCGACCATTCGACATTACATCGTCGAACTACTGGAAGGGTCCTAATATAGCTCACAAAAACCGACATTCCCCATCATCACCATTTTGTAATTGCTGTCTTACAAACAATGTTTCATATGCAATGTGTGGGTAGTTTACGATCCCTGTCCATACCAGATTTCATATGCCTAGTTCTGATAGTTATCCCCCCCTTGGCACTACAGCCCCAGTGGGCCTAGGCCTACCTCCATGAACTCCGTTCACTTCGGTTTTTCTAGATCTTACACATTCGGTAGGACTCCTTGGGCGAGTGATCAGCTCGTCGCAAGGCCTCTACCTGTAGACAAACACAGAAAAACGCACACAAACATCCATGCCCTGAGTGGGATTTGAACCCACGATCCCGGCTTCCGAGCGAGCGAAGACAGTGCATGCCTTAGACCGCTCGGATACCGTGACCGGCGATAGTTATCCCCATCAGACAGAAAGTTACATACAGACGGTATTCAGCCATCCATTTTATATTCTGCATAAATATTAGTCGAATGTTGCACATTTTTCAAAGTTTTACTGTCATACACAGAAGTCCGTGCCAGGTTTCATGAACTGATTTCAAGGAAGAAACTGGAACACAGGAACAGGCTGGTCTATCTGTACCGCTTTGGACTTCTACTCGGGATGTACTCAGTATGAATCAAGGCTAGAAAACGGGCTGTTTTGACTGATGTTTTCCGTGGATTCCCTTAGTCCTTACTAGCAAGTGTCGCAATAGGATCACGATTAGGCCATGGTTGTTTCCTTCCAAATCCTTTCCAATTTATCGTTCATCAGTCATTATGTCATTCGAAATTAGTGACTGCAGATACTGACAACGTCCTGCAATAAATCACCATCACATTATAAGTTAGCAACTAAGAGCTGTGTATACGGCACGAAGCTTTGAGGTTATGTGTGACAAATTTATCACAGTCGTGATCTGAATTATATATTATGCTCAACAGTACTAACTTATACAGAGTTCCAGAGAAAGAAGGGACTTTTTTTTTAGTAGAAAATGAACAGAGTTGGGATTTTACAATTTTCACCCCATGAAACAGCTACTCAGAAAGCTTGCCCCCCCCCCCAACAATTCTCTGCACTTCGACCTGGGCTCCCTTTGTTGCTCGTACAATGTCCTGAAACTCCTTAATCTGAAGCGTGCGCAGGTCAAGTACTGTACGTAAAATTTTGAAATTTCAGTTGCCATGTCATGAAAATCGTACTCTTCTGGTCTGTTTATTTTCGCGATAAAAATGTTTAAAACGCGTATAATAATAATCGAACAGCTGTATAATTACAAATTTGTCGTTCTTCCTAACCTCGTCATGAAGATTAAATCAACTGACAGAAAATAGGCGGTACAACTACTTCCAAGAACTTACTTGCACTGTTTGCTATATGAAATGAAACAAAGTTGTGCTTCTCCCCGTAAGGTCGTAGTAGTGGAGGGCCACCCAACCAGCAGCAGGACCCTCATCGGTCCCCTCCAGACCTGGAAGACGGCTCCTCGGAGGGTCCCGGCGACCAACACGGAGGTCGAGGTGGTAGGAGTCACCTGGACCACGTCACCCAGCTGCAGGGTTCTGCCGCACAGATGACGTCTCAGGCGGCAGCAGGGAATGTGGGTCACACTCAGGTAAAGCCTTTCTTAGGTTCGTTTCAATTCGTACAATGCCAGTGTTTGAAATATAAAATTTCATTAAATGGAGTAAGGGATATCGGCAAAACAAATAGCGACTTATAAAATTACAGTATAAAGTATAGTTTGAATATCATCACCGTACATATAGAGCAGCATGCTTCAATCTGCCATTCAGCTGCTCCGATATGTGACCCAACGCACCTTCGTTTTTTTTTTCTTTTTAACTCTTAGAGCCACGTCACGTTTAGGAATATATTATGTCGGATATTTAAAAATCTGAGATCTGGCGAACGGGTAGGCCAAGAAATGAAGACAGAGACAACATATTCAAGTTAGTTAACGCAACCGATTACGGTTTAACGATACTCCTATTAATTTGCTTGGTTATAAAGAGTATAATGCTATTATTATTGTTATTATAAACGTCGTAAGACATCGTGGCCTATTTAAGGCATTCTGCTCACTCGGAGAGACTGAGGGAAATCATGAAAACCATCATGAAGCAAGGACGGTAACTGACACACCGCAGTGATTAGTATAGTTCGACTGTTTATTGAGATGCAGATATAACCTTTATTCTTTGATTGTGGATTTTAATAGCTCGTTGAGGCTCTAACAGTGGAATGTTTGGAAATCAGCTATTTCTTTAATATGTCCACATCTAATATGAAACCGATATATGGGTACATGTTGCAGCTGGCAGGAGGGCTCAGTATTCGAGCACTCAAGAAGATTACATCTGTTGAGAAGGAGCTGTCAGCGTCGAGGCGAGCGCATAAACGCAAGCTCACCCAGCAGGATGAAGACAGCAGCTGTTGCAGCTCAGATGAAGACGATGACGAAGATGATGAACCTTCAACTGGACAGGGAGGGAAAACTCTTCTACACCGGCAGGGTCATCGAAGCGCTGTGCTCAGTCCGGCTTCATCTTCATGCCATTCCTCAACAACTTCCTCCTGTCTACCACCAGCGCCTCCAGGCATTACGCCCTCCTCCGGAGGAGGCCTCGTTATAACAGCTGAACCGAATTGCGTGAGCCCTAAACCTCCGGCCCAGCATGATGATGCTGATGGTGGTGGGGGTGGCACATCAGTGAAAGACCTGGAGCATGCCATGTCCAAGCATCTACCTGCAGTGTCGCTCGGCAAGGGGACCACTGCTACATCACCACCCTTATCGTTGCAGCAGCATCACCCTACAGACTTCAGCACAGATGCTTTGTTGAAACAGCAGCAACAAAGAAGCACCATCCAATGGATAGGAGCACATCATCATTTGAATCATCTGAATCATCATCAGCAACTGCAACACTCCCAAGGATCTTCTGCGCCACTCCCAGCGTCAGCCCTCCTCAGGCAACTGTATGCTAACCGGGAGAGTGTTATCCGAGCAAACGTGCATGCAGCGACATCAGGCATTACGTCATCGTCAGGACGTGGTGGAGGAAGTGCATCATACTATGCCGGAGATGTGAATCAAGTCGGCCCCCTTCCCACACCGCCAGGAAGTGAAGGCTCATCCACTTACGGAGACCATCAGTTTGTGCTGTCACATAACCAGAAATCTGGTGCAGGTGTTGTGAATGGAGGAGCTGACGCGTTCAGCAGCTTAGTTTCTTCCTACTCCACGACAGGAGGCTACTCTGTGGACTACCACTCTGCCATGACACCCCCTTCCTCTGTTTCCCCTAGGGATAAGCACCAGCAGCAGATCCATTCTGGAGGTGCTTTCGATAGTCCTGTGTACTCTGATGTGTTAAGGCATCAGTATTTAAGTGGTGGGGGTGCAGGTGGAGGGACTGATGGAACACCTGCTCAACCTTTGCCTCTGAAGCCTCAAGTATATTCAGCCATGCACCATAGCGCCCTAGATGCAGCTGCAGCATATGCTGCTACTACATCCCTTGATCAGTCACAGTTCTACCACCATTCTGCTGCAGGAGCAGGATTTCATCTGTACCACCCTGCCACCAACAAAACAGTAACAGCCACAGCAACAGTCTATCCAGAGGCTCTAAAAAACTCAGCAAACTGGTACTCCACTGCATCATAGTACGAGTAGCCAGGTACACAACTATTTCACCATTATGACAACATGAGCATTAGCCCGTAGTATAGTTGTTCACTGATTCTCATAAGATGAATTGGAAGAAACTGCATAATGAGGTGGTGCTTAATCAACTAAAGAACAAGTGGGACAACTCAAAAGGTGTGTATATATTCAAACTGTATCTACTACCTATCTGCCTAGGCCAGATCTCTCTGAAAACTGATTCCCACAATGAAGTGTAGTTTGAATAAACAGACACCTCTATCCATTAATGTACTTAATTACATTTTAAATAAGTAAGGGGAATAATGGACATTCATCCATTAGGGAAACTAATGGGTAAAATATGTGCTGTCAGCTTTAGTGTACCAAATATCTTTAAGACTAGATTTTCCATTTACTGAAACCAGTTGACTCAAACTGATGACATAGGAGCATACTTTTTCCTTCTTGAAGTGCACTACATTCCACTCAACATATATTACTTGAAAACAGAATGCATTGTAAAATGTCCCACACATTCGTATAAGGACTGGCAAAAACTACTTTTATATTGCATTGGAAGAATTTACTCGAGGGGCATGACAGAAAATATTTTTAGAGTGAAAAAACAAATTCCTTGCAAATCCATTAATTCCTGCAATCCATTTTTTGGGAAAATGGAATGTTTTGTGAAATTATAAAATGTATAAATATATATTTCTGTGGTGGACTGTTTCAAGATTCTTGGTGCTCTTCTAAACAGAATGTTTTATCAAAATTACTGTAGTTATGCAATGCTAAATGTTAACAGACTCCTTCACATCAGTGACAAATGAAAGAGATACAGCACAAAGAAGAATGTTTCAGTTATGACCAACATGAAGTGTATAAGAAATTGCATGTAGCTTTAACACTGTTTCGAGTAATCTGACTATTAATTACTTGCGGGATGCTCAAAACATCTACAGAACATATAACAGTTACCGGAAATAGTTGTCGAAAGATTCTATGGTAACACCTATAAAACTCTTGACAATGTGACTTGGGATTCAGAAGAGAGACCATCACATATCCACTACACAGTGTGTATATAGCACTTTCAGCTACATTTAGAAGGTGTGAAAGTATATGGTTGGTTTACTGAACAGACATTCATTGCAGGACATGAATACTGTGACCTACCTTGTATAAATAAAATGGCGATAGTATTATGCAGTGTATAATTACAAGTGAACATGTGAAATAATTATGGTGTGCATGACTACAAATTATTTCACAAAGCAAAAACAAAACTGCATTGTCATGTTACACATTCTTTTTTGTGTAAAGGAACTGCTGAGACATAATTTTTGTTTCTTCACATATTTAAAATGATAGGTTAAACACATATTTCAAAATTAAAATATATGCTCTTAAAGAGCTTAAATATTTCTGGTTTCACTGATATTCAAATTTTCATTTGGGTTAAGCTGTAAAGTTTACCCAAAAAGAAAAAAAAAAACTACTGAAGAAGAGTTTTGTAATTGTTTAAAAGCATTAAATCAGAATCTCTTAACATAGTCCCATAATGTACCACAGCTTATAATGGATCCATACATACAGGTCAAGTAGATACTCCATGAACTGACAATTTATAAATCCAAAACTGAATCAAAAAGAATTTTACAACATTGTATGAAATACAACTGTAAGTTTTATTCAAGACAACAATGGTCTGAAAATCATTGGATGTTATCATTTTGAATTTAGGAGAGATCTTTTATTTTAGTTGTCCAGATGCTATACCAAAAGTCATCAGTTTTATCAGAACCTTGTTTTAAGTGTTAGAATGTAAGCCTAAATTGCTTTATAAAGAATGAAAGCAGTTTCATAAGCTTATCACACAATGTGATTTTTTAAAGATGTTTTTTCTAAAATGGTATTAAACTTTTTGTCTGATAATATGTTGATGTCGGCTCAAAATATGATGTGCAATAGAATATTTTGTAGATACCATACCTACAAATTAATGTAGGTTGTGTTTTATTGTTCATACCCATATGTTTATTGTTGCTCTGTTTGTAAACTATGTTAAGCAGCTACTTCATACTTCATTTTGAAAAGGAAAATTGCAGTCCAGTCTTGAAAGCTCTTTACACTGTTCCCATGACGCCACTTGTATGTTTGTGTCTTGGTTGAGGATTCATTTCTTTAATTTGTGCAGAATGAATATTTTATATGCAGAAGAGACTTCTAAGACTGTTAACATGAATCAAATGAAGCTTAATGCTTCATACACTGATAAAATAAAACATTTAAAGTCTGCAGTAGCATAACTGAACTGACAGTTTTCTAGAATTGGCTTCAGTCTTTGAAAATCAACAGTCTGATTAATGAAATGAGTCCTTAATGTATTTGCTTTACAGTGCATCACTTTGTACTGGTAATGATTTATTTGTTATTTCTGTTAAAGAAAGATTAATATTGTTTGTGAAAGATGCTCACACCTTTCACTTAATGTGTTCGTTATTGTTAGGTCATTTTCCATTTGTTGGATAATAAATACACAAGTACAAGGCTAGAACTGGAGAACAAGTATGACAGTATTTCAATCAGTCCACATATTAACATTCGATCTCATACGTCTGCATCATAGCAAATCAACTGNCTCCGAAACGTCGGCCAACACGAAGAATACACGGTGCCTAAACCCAGAAGACGACTCTCTTCATTGTCATCGCCGTGAAAACCTCAAAACTTACAACCGTATTTTGTTCGAAATGTTTATTCTTCAGAAGTATACAGTTGAATTAGAGGGCAGTAGTACTGTTTACATATGTGCTTATACTTGTAGTATCTGATATTATGAAAGCAGGGGTTATGAAGATTCTTATCGCCTGGAATAAAATGCTGTGTGGTCTGTTGAAGGAAAACTGACATTTCAGAGGAATATGTTGGCCCCTCTTCAGGCCTGAAGGATAGTCAAGCAAGAAGCCAACATGAAGCAGGTAGCAAGCAAAGAGTAAGGCTGGCTTACTCTCTGACCCTGAAGGAAGCGACATGTTCCTACAAAATGTCAGTTGACTTTCAATAGACTACACAGCATTATATCCCAGAAGAGAGGGCTTTCTATGCTTATATTTGTGTGGGATATGTTATAAATCCAAATTTATTCGCATTGATGCAGACATAGATGCAAGATTAAGGTATTTGTTTTTGTTTTCATCACTGCTCATTACTTAATAGTATTTATTGTTATATGAGGCTGGGGGTAAATTATTAAAGAAATCAACCCAAAGAGTAGCCTATAACCACATCCATATTCATGCCATGCCCACTGTACCACATTTGTAATATACTTTAAACAAAAGTTATAAAGAGTGCTGGGAGAAATTCACATTCTCCTGAAGTTTTTGTGTGAAGTGTGGCCATTGTTTTTAACTTTGTAATGTTAGTCTATCTTTGGCTCGTTGAGAGTGAGTTAAAATATAACCAATTTCTGTATATTTTAAAGATTACTGGTTTGTCAGACATCTTCCAGATAAAAAGCACCATCTGTTATTAATAAATAAGATATACAACATTAATTTACACTGATTAAATTTTATCCCATATTCGTACACAACAGTGCATAAAAATATATTTCTCTGGAGGGTATAGGACAGTCAATTTTGCAGAACTTATAAATTTAAAAAATTAAAACACATCAATTTCATCTTAAACATTTTTGTAATTACATTAACAAAATAAACAATTTCAAAATATCATATTTTAAGTAGGATAATTGAATTTATGTTAGGACTGTTGATTTTCCAAACGTTGTACAGCATCTTCCAAAGCGAACAGGTGCTCATCTTGTACTCCCGGTGCAAGAAGGCGCATGGCAGAGGCTAATTTATACAGGTACTCTGCATTTGTTCCACTTGGACCTACAGAGCCAAGGATCTGTTGTGCAATACTTTCTATATCTGCATCACCTGCAAAGTATTTGTTATTTTCTGTGCCAACATATATAACCAATTCAAAAGGTTCATAAGGATGTGGTGAACACGATGAACAATCGTGAATATGTTCCGTTAATTTATTGCTTTCGGGGTCAGAAGGAAAAAACTGAACAGTTACTTTATCATAGCCATCTTTTTCTCGTATATCGAGCTGTTTCATAACAAATTCTTCATCATCTTTAGCAATTTCATATGCAACACCCCAAACTTGATCCTGAAATAGAAAGCAGAAATTACCATGAGTATGTGAAAAAGTCTTATGGAAAGTCTCATAAATTTCTTTCTTGATATGTTTGATTTAATTTAAGATTGACAGTATTTAATTTAACAGATCTGTACATTTTCGATTCACACTTGATAAAATATTTTAACACACCTAACTAAATTCATGGAAATCAAAACATTTTTCAATCATAGTAGGCAGTAATAAAACACAATATTGCAACATATAACCCACTTACAGCATACAGTGCTGTTTATGGTGGTGAAAATAATAATGTAAAATATCTCTGCCATGATTTAAAATCAGCCACAGTTATGGCAATTCCTCACACTGCTGATATATGCTGCAAATTTTGTTCTTAAAATGTTAAGCCCAATAAATCTCCTTTGTTAGAAATATACTTGAAGTATGTAATTCTTCTGCAAGCAAGAAATTTTCATTTTGAATGGTGGCCTGGAATGGAATTTTAAATTTTGGAGTTGACATTTCCAACAAAAGCATTCTACTACATAATTTTTATTTTACATGATACTGTTGTTAAGAAAAGTTGCAGTTAGTATAAATTAAAGTAAAAAAAGTAAAGCTATCCCTGTAACAGGCTGTGAAGGCCCATAGGGTTGTGAGACATTGAGAGTCCCACATTATCTAGACAATTGGCTCAAAGATGGCGGTAAGGTTGTTAGCCTTACGCGCCACCCGCGCTTTATTCCCTAGGAAAATTATTTAATTAATTCCTGGTACTCATTTCTGTTAGAGGCTGAGTAGACACCAGGGCCTAGTGCGGCCAGAAGGGTTAGTCACTTGAAAAAATCCAATGACCTCATCGGGACTTGAACCCGCGACCTTCCGGCTTGTAGCATAGTACCTTAACCACTACGCTACTTTAGTGTCATAAATAAATCTTCAGGAGGCTGCTAATTGTCCAGTTGTCCAAAATGTTATAAGCAAAGCTTTGTGACATTCATTTATGATCATCAAATTTACATACAACCAGCTGACATCACATTCATACATCGCAACCCAAACCATGAGAAGATGGAAGGCTGACGGAATAGGTGAATTTTAAAAGGTAAGCTGTTCCTGTGCTTAATTAAGCACATCATGAAGTCGTATGGTATCTTGGAGATGCAGCTCCATGGATTCAGCACCTCAGTGCTGGATATGAGTGGTCCCCTTCATGCTCTGGTCATTTTACCCACAGTACACTTTGAACAGAAGGCTCAATTGCTCACACAAGTCTGGACATTACAGATAAAACATTTTTGCACCTGTCAGGAATCAAATCCTTATTCACTGGTACTATCCACCCTGTAAATTAGTCACCGCTGACTGCGGTATTTGGAAACGTAATTATACCTAGGAATAAGACAGTCCATGTCACAGGTATGCCACGGTTACAGAAATCAACATTTGTGAAGCTCACACAATTAGCTAGAAGCGAATGAGAATGATTTTTACTTACTTCAGGATCTGGGGATGGAACAATTGTAACCACACGACCAGGCTGAAAAAATATTTTATATCCATGTAACAATAAATTTATATAACAAATGTTATTAAACTCACAAAGTTTGAAATGTCCTGAATATAAAACAAGAACATTCCCAGCAGAAGAACTGTTATGCATTTACTTTTACGGGAATAAGGTCACCGGCTTATCAAAATCATGTTACGACCAGGATCAAAATCCACAAGAACGGTCTTAACCCACCCATACCTTTCCTGGGACACCTCTATGGTCTTCACTAGCTTGCCAAAACCGTCGCACGTAACCTTTTATGTACCCAATTAATCGATGATTGTACGGGAAATCCGCCTTCCACACCAAAGACCCGTAACCAAATATCCACATTGCTTAATACACTTGAAAATTCTTGTGTAATACTGAACTACAACCAGAAAAGTAACACACTTTGGCAATTATAATTAACAGTTCTGCAATGTGTTTTGGGAGAGCTGATACAGTCCTTCAAAAGAAACGTGTTAATTTTGCTGTTACACTACACCATAAAGGTTAATTGTAACATTTTAATTACATTTCTCGTATCTCACTACTATATTTTCTCATGGCTTGACATTAGACAAGTGTACCAACATATTAGAATAATACCATTCCGTAATTATTTTTTTAAGCAATTTGTTGCATCTTAAAATGAAGATAGAATAATACTTGTGAATATGATCTACATTACGAATAAATTATGGCAGTTTCAGGCAAGTCTACAGATAGTAGGGAACATTCGATATAATTAGTTTGTGTTCTACGGCTGATACCACTGTTCACATCCTGTACAGACGACACGCGGTAATCAATAACATTAGTTTCGCGTGCCATCTTACGGTAGTATTATTAACTATGTATTTACTCATGTTAACGAAGGACTCTGCCATCTGCAGACGAAACGCTTATCTGTGGGCACTTTGCAACGTTATAAGGGCGATCATGCGGCCTACTTGCAGCAAACCAGTTTAATGAAAATAAGAACTATGCCTTCCCTTTTTAACGCCGTCTCTCGTCGTGTCGTTTGTCATGTGCGAAAATGGCAAGTTGACTCTAGAGGAGTGTTATGATATGCGAATATATGGTCTAATTTTCATTATTTGTCGTGTTGTTAATGTTCCCAGTGACTAATACATAAAGCCAAAGTGAACATTTTTTGTTACTAAGTTTTCACAAACTCAAGATTAATACCGGTGTAGTCGACTACACATCGTGGAAGTTCTCTCTTATTATTGAAGGTAAGGCTTTTTCATTTTTGCATATTTTAACATCATCGTCGTAATTATTGTGAATAATTATTTATGTAAAGAACTGGATTGGATTGAGACCCAGCATGAGTATTATCTGTGACTGTTCCTAAAGAATAATATTTGTTGTGAGATTCTGCACGCAGATGAAACACATGTAGTCAAACGAGGCTAACAAAATTATTTAATACATGCCTGTGAACGAACTTCAATCATACTGGGAGTACAAGTAAATGAAAAAAGAAGTAAAGTTGTCTTTGTGCATAACTAATTAAGCACTATGTTATGAAGACGTACAGGGTAGTGGATATATAGATCCACGTTTGCCTGACCTTGTGACTAGATGGAGGTGAGTGCTCAGCTCCGCGCCTCGGCCGCTTTACCCCCGGGGTGAGCGCCCGCCACCCATTGTATAGAAAGCTGGGTGGGCCCCAGAGCCAGTCTGAACGACGTGGAGAAGAGAAAATGGGAGTTGCATTCAAAAAATTCCAAACACTGTTTATGAGTTGCCTGTTGCATATCTAAAGAATTGTTTTGACATCTACACATTCAGCATTTTACCTAGTCTTTTGAAACTTCTTAGTTTGATTAACCAACAGAGAGAGAATTTGTCTGAATTATAAAAATTGTGGTGTCAACAACCCTATCATTGTACCATCTGCCCCAACATTTATTAACTGTTATTCCCATAAAGTGCAGTTATGTTTTTTTTTTTATATTCAGAACACTGAGCTGTTGTTTCCCTAAACTTCATTGACTGACTTGTATTTCTGATGGAAATGCAGTATGTTTTCTTCCATGTAGAAACTATTTTTTATAATATTTAGAAGAATTATGTGCTTTATCTTGTAACCCCAACTAATGAATATGTTTAGATGCTTGAAAACATTGGTTCTCAAGTGCAGTGATCTGTTTAGCCACAATCAACATATTTCTTTTCATGTTTCACCATGAGTAATTATGAACCCAATACAATACCAGCTGCTGTCAGCAGTTTTACATTTTCTTAAATCCAAATTTTGATCACCAGGTGAGGCATTTTTATGTGTAGGTTTCATAGCAAATTGATTTATAGATTATTTATAGGTTGTGTATCTCATACAGGTGTTATTTAGCATAAAATTAAATAGTATGATAACGAAGGATAACTTGGGAAGAATTTTGAAGGGGACATCTGTGGTCATTTCATTCAGTTAAATGGACTGAGGAGGGTTATGAAACACATCAGGATAAGGGAATTTATTTGGTGTGCATCATATACCATGTAAGTATCTCCAGACTGGTATCACAAAGCTAACTGGCTGGTTTTAAAATGAGATGATGTATTTGAGGGACACTAGTAGCCAGGTCATTTCCGAGTAACTGCCATATATTTTTGCTCATTAAAAATTCATTAATCAGGATAATGACCCAAAGATTATCGCCTGTTGTTTCTGTCGGTAGGGCTCTGGCAGACCTAGATATATTGGCATACACAGCATATTTGCTGAACATAGTGGCTGCACGGTCTAATGCATGAACAGTCTTCGCTCGTTCGAACACTGGGATCTTGGGTTCGAATCCCACTCAAGGCATGGGTGTCTGTATTGTGTGTGTTGATTCTGTATTTGTGTTGTTCTGTGTAGGTAGAGGCCTTGCGACGGGCTGATCTCCCGTCAGAGGAGTCCTACTGACTGTGTATAGGATCAAGAAACTGAAAAAGCCACCAAGGCCCAGCAAAGGGCTGTGGAGCCGTAATAGTAATAATAATTAATAATAATGTATATTTATTTTCTAAATCATGCTTAATGTGTAGCAAAAATATGATGATTCTTTTACAAATCTGAAACAAAAAAAATATTTTGTACTGAAGTCATATTTATTACCTATTACATGTTTGGGAAGGGTTTGTTAAGCATATAAAATATAAGATACATAAAGATTTGAATTAATTTAGCAAAATTGCACAGAGTTCTAGCACTTCTAGGGCATTAGCAGTCTGTATTCCATTCAGTTTTGAAGCTCCATTAACTCTGTGGTCACATGTCCTCCTTCCAGGGATGAATACGTTTACTGTGCATTCCAATCACACAGATTTTCTGCATGTATGATATGTGTGTAGTTTCCTCTTTGTGGATTAGTGTGTAACACATTTTCCTTTTCTGAATTTTTTCCTCTTCATTTTCTCAGAGCACATTTAAATTTTTATATAACCAAAATTTTAGATTGTTTTTCAGTATCTTCCTACCTGGATTTGACCATCTTTTGAAGGTAAAATTTTGTTTTCCTTTTGCCAAATGCTTTGTTTGTACCTGTTTTATATTCTTACTGCCTATACATATTATACAAGATAAATTATGTTATATTATTTTAGTAAGCAAAAAACGCACAGGGTTCATATGGAGAGGTTCCATCTCAAGAAATTAAAAGAGGTTGAGAGTAAGGAGCAGTATCGTGTTGAAATCTCAAATAGATTCACGGCTTTGGAAAACGTAGACACTGAGGTGGATGTTAATACAGCTTGGGAAACTATTAGAGGGAGTATCAAAATTTCTGCCAAAGAAATTCTAGGTTATTATGAACTGAAGAAACATAAGCCATAGTCATTGAAGGATGCTCAGAATTACTAGAACAAAAATTTTCTTCGATATTCTTCTCTCAAGGTTAAGTCCATATATAGATGAAATTATTGGGGATCATCAGTATGGGTTTTGACGTAACAGATCAACTACAGATCAGATCTTTGCATTCGTCAGATACTGGAGAAAAAATGAGAGTATGATGAGACTGTACATCAGCTATTCGTAGACTTCAAGAAAGCCTATGATTCAGTTAGGGGGGAAGTATTCTACAATATTCTCATAGAGTTTGGGATACCCATGAAACTAGTTAGGCTGATTAAAATGTGTTTAAACGAAACGTAAATAAAGTCCATGTAGGTAAACATTTGTCTTGTAATTCTTCTATACACAATGATCTAGAACAAGGGGATGCTTTATCGCCACTGTTTTTCGAAATTGGTTTAGAATATGCCATTAGGAAGGTCCAGGAAATCCAGCTGGGACTGCAGTTAAATGGGACAAATCAGCTGCTGGTCTATCTTGATGATGTCAATCTACTGGGAGATACTTTTGATACCACAAAGAAAACTTTAATTGACGCAAGTAAAGAGGTTGGTCTAGAAGTAAAAACAGAGGAAACTAAGTCTATGTTGCTGTCTCGTTACCAGAATACAGGGCAAGATTATGACATAATGATAGGAAACAGATGTTTGAAAATGTGGCACAGTTCAGATATTTGGGAATGACTATAAAACTCAAAACCTGATTCAGGAGGAAATTAAGAGGCGATTGAACTCGGGTAATGCTTGCTACCGTGGAGTCCAGATCCTTTCTTCTTCTCGTCTGCCATCTAAGAACACAAAAATTAGAATATATAAAACTATCATTTTGCCTCTGGTTCTGTATAGGCTTGAAACTTGGCCTGTGATATTAAGCGAGGACCAGGGTGCTGAGGAGAATATTTGGACCGAAGAGAGATGAAGTGATGGGAGGTCGGAGAAAATTACACAATGAGGAGCTTCATAACTTGTACTTTTCACCAAGTAGAATTAGGAAGATGAAGTCAAGGATGATGTGATGGGAAGTGCATGTAGTGCGAATTGGGGAGAAGAGGAATGCATATAGGATATTGGTGGGAAAGCCAGAGGGAAAGAGTCTACTAGGAAGACTGAGACGTAGGTGGGTAGATAATATTAAAATTGATCGCAGTGAGATGGAATGGGATGGTATGGATTGAATTTATTTGGCTCAGGGTGGGGACCAGTGGAGGGCTCTTGTGAGCACGGTAATGAACTTGCGGGTTCCATAAAATGTTGGGAAGTTCTTGAGTAGCTGCACAATTGGCGGCTTCTCAAGAAGGCATTTGCTTCGTGAATGAGTGAGTGAGTGAGTGAGTGAGTGAGTGAGGGACGCTAATACAAACGTACTGTTTATTCATTTATATCTGACTATGAGGAAGGCACAATAAGTCACTGTGGTCGCGGTGCAAGGTCCAAGAAGGCCCACCCCTTATACCTTCATACATACATCAGCATGTTTAATGATATGCTTAGATTTGCCCTTCTGTTCAGTGATTACTGCTATGCCCCAAAACTTCCCGCCCGTGGGAGCAATAGTTTTTACCAGGGCCCGGATTATGATGACCTGAAAATATTTAAAAAATGACCCAAAAATCCAGAAAAATGACCTAAAATATGACCAAAAGTAATATGCAGGTCGCGGATTTTAATGACCTGAAAATATTAAAAAAATGACCTATAAAGTGACCGAAAAATCCAGAAAAATGACCTGAAGGAGA